CACCTGGAAAACAACAATTCCAAGTAATATGGGTTCCCCAACCTGTGAAATACATATGCGTAGCCATATGTGTTCTCCCACCTGGGAAACACATATCCCTTGTGATATGTGTTACCCCACCAGGGAAACACATATCCCTTGTGATATGTGTTCCCTCACCTGGGAAAAACATATGCCTAGTGATATGTGTTCCTCCAACAGGGAAACACATATCCCTAGTGATATGTGTTCCCCCAGCTGGGAAACATATCCCTAGTGATATGTGTTCCTCCAACTGGGAAACACATATCTCTAGTGATATGTGTTCCCCACCTGGGTGACACCTATCCCTAGAGATATGTGTTCCCCCACCTGGAAAACAACAATTCCAAGTAATATGGGTTCCCCAACCTGTGAAATACATATGCGTAGTCATATGTGTTCTCCCACCTGGGAAACACATATCCCTAGTGATATGTGTTACCCCACCAGGGAAACACATATCCCTAGTGATATGTGTTCCCCCACCTGGGAACACATATCCCTAGTGATATGTTTTCCCCTACCTGGGAAACACATATCCCTAGTAATATGTGTTCCCCCACCTGGGAAACACATATCCCTAGTAATATGTGTTCCTCCACATGGGAAACACATATCCCGAGTGATATGTGTTCCCCCACCTGGGAAACACATATCCCTTATGCTATGTGTTCCCTCACCTGGGAAAAACATATGCCTAGTGATATGTGTTCCCCTACCTGGGAAACACATATCCCTAGTGATATGTGTTCCCCCAACAGGGAAACACATATCCCTAGTGATATGTGTTCCCCCAGCTGGGAAACATATCCCTCGTGATATGTGTTCCTCCAACTGGGAAACACATATCCCTAGTGATATGTGTTCCCCACCTGGGAAACACCTATCCGTAGAGATATGTGTTCCCTCACCTGGAAAACAACAATTCCAAGTAATATGGGTTCCCCAACCTGTGAAATACATATGCGTAGCCATATGTGTTCTCCCACCTGGGAAACACATATCCCTTGTGATATGTGTTACCCCACCAGGGAAACAC